GCAGGCAAACTTGAATTTCACATTCAACCTCTTTAATCATTTTTGCACAAACCTTTCACTCAGTCTTTTTTGTTGTTGTTCTGCTCTCTTTGTGCTCGGACAACAATGATTGACAACAGATGAACACATGCATCACACGTGCCTCATGTTATACACATTTTACTAATTCAGCCACACAGATTTGGTAGCTGTGGACATGGCTGGTAACTTTGGCTTGCATCCTGGGTCTTTAACTGTTATTTTGTTCAATCCGATTGCAGCTGACATTGGGCGAGAGGCGGGTTACCCTTGACAACTGGCCCGTCCATCACAGGGCTTATCAATGTGACAACCTTCATTATGAACCATTGTTATGGCTGGGCTGGGGGAACACATTCAGGCCTGTGGCCCATCAGAAATATATTGTGTCATATAATCTGTCTGCTTTGTATTTTCAATCCATCAATCTTTATTTATGTAACACATTTTAGACAGATGAAGTATCCCTATGTGCCACACATGATTGAGGGACAAACAGCGCTGTGTAATACGTAGACGATCAACAGCTTCTCAAGGTAAACCAAACAAGAGCATTACAATAGCAAAGCCCACAGGTTTTGAAGGATGTGTTGGTTTTTCTGTATCGGCCTGAAAGAGAAACTCTGTAGCGATAGCAATATTTCTAAATGATAACAAATATACTTTGGTTACATTCCTAACTTTTAATGCCATTCGCAATTTCTGTGGCTTATGCTACCGTGCACAGTATGTAATGCAATATGACAGTAATATGAGTCAGGGAGGTTTAGCCTATTAGTAGAAACAGATACATTAGTAGGATCTGATAGAGGTTTAATTGACAGAAGGGACCGGTGGGTAGAACAGTATGGTGGCGTGATACTGTCATTTGGAATGTTGGAGTCAATCCCAAAATATGTTAAAAGTATCAATAGAGAAGAGCAGCTCTGCCATCAATAATGGGGAGTGGGCCTGATATAAATACTGTTTTTTTTAAAGTTCAGAAGGAGCTTAATAATCGTTTTGGTGCACTCGGACTTGGGATGGGTTATGTCATCTTACTCCACATACTGTATGCTTTAATTGTTTTAATAGAGGTTGAGAGAGAGGGCAGTTCGTCCAGAAGTTAATTCAGGATGACAGGGGCTGTGTCTTCAGGAAAATAAAGATGATATTGTGCTTAAGAGGGGGATGTTCTTTGGCAAGAAGACAGCATTAGTCCTGGAGGGGTAACCATTTTTTGAGGCTCAGCTCAAGGAAGAGCTCCTGACCATCTAATCAAGGCCGGTCAGCATCCTTTTAAATGTTTCCTTCATCATTGGGGGAGTAACGAGCCGCTTTTAATGCTGGCCACTGGTGGAGTAGACCCAGTAGTCCCCAGAAGGCTCACAGTCTAGGGACTTGCCACTCTCCCCTGCTGCTATTATCCCCGATTAACCATTTTGGACATTTGGGCTTTAATACATTTTACACTGTTTTTATCTATGTGAGCATATAATCCTGTTTTAGTTTGTTTTTTGATGTCCTTCCTATGGTGAGTTATACGCCTGTTTTCTGAAGTGGACCTAAAAAACCTTAAAATCGACATACATTAGCCTAAAGTGCTAACAAACTTAAAATCCTATACTGTGGATCAGTACCTTCTGCGGTGGACCTGGGTTAAATTCGATCTGGGGACCATTTACTCATCTCTTCCCCTCTGTATCCCACTTTCACATCTTTCTATGATTAAGGCACTGGTAGCCCCCAAAACAAATCTTAAACTTAAAATCTTCAATTAAAGCAACTGCTCATCTATGTCGCCCTTGTGTCTATGTGTCAGTCATAAAGCAGAAATGACTATGACCTCACTTCCTGCCAGTGTTCAGTGTGGCCAGCTGTAGCAACACATTTACTTTTGGCATCCAATGAAATGTTGTGTTGGGCCAAGATAAGTCTGGTCCTCCCTCTCTGCAGGCCGCCGTGAGGACATCACAAAAGCTCACTCAGCCATCACAGTCACAGATAGCTAAAATTACTTTTATAAGGGCCACTGTCTAGCATCTGTTTTGGCTGGGCAGCTGCCACTGAGTCTAAGGCCAATGCCAAGGAAGATTATAGATTGTTCAGCTCATGCTATATGTGCTATATATATTATGTCATAAGTCATTGAACTAACCTCTCAATGGGAAAACAAAAAACATATTGGGAAGATTCATTGGGTTTCATCCGCTCAGAAACCAATTTTATTCTTTCTGGCAACATTGCCAAGTGGAAGTACTTAGAGGAGAAAATAACTTGAAGACCTTAAATAGAGCCCTGTGGGACGCCAAAAGTTACGTCTGTGTTCTCTGAGGAGTAAAACTGCAATTTAGGCAACTTTTTTAAATATTGTGTCTTTATAAGGACCATGCATAAAAATGCATCATACTCAGAAAGCAAAGATGATATATATGTATTTATATTTGAAAAATGGATCACAACGCAAGAGAGGAAGCCATATATGTTATAGATTTTGAGGTGTTTAGTCTCGATTTTCATAGCCTTAACCAAATCATTGTGTCATGCCGAAATCACAAGAAGGCATACACAATTAAAAATGTGTTCAAAAACTGTACAATTGTTGAATGGAGTTTTGAGAATTCCTGCCTACGGGCCTTCATCTGTCTCCAAATGAATCAAGCAGAAGGCAAATCAGCATTAACTTCATTTATCATTTGTAATGTAATAAACACAACTCCAAATGAATTCTAACGCCCCTCTCTCTCTGCTGGAAGTGTAAACACATCAATACTTTCTGTATGTCATAAGATCATTCAGGCTTTTAGTTTAACTTGGCTCCTGCTCAAGTGGCATCTTGTGCCAAGAGTTTCTATTAAAAGGAGCAGTAACACGCCCCCCCTCCCCTGTCCCAGATTTCATTGAGATGCATAATCAGATAAGGCCCCATGGTCCAATCAGTGACCAATAAACAGAGCTGGATAACAATTAAGATAGTCAAGCTTCAAAATGATTCCAATCCGATATTCTTCACCTACACTCACAATGACTAAACATTTTTTAACCCAATAGGGAACCAACACTAAGCATCTCAAAATACAGATCTCTGCTTGTGTCTGAGACAAAGAGGAAGAAGATTTATAGACTAAGATTCCTCACATAGTGATGCTACGAGTAACCTGGCTTGGTCGCACTTTTAGTTTTTGGAATTGTTTGGGCACTGCTCCGGACTAAATCTTAGCTCCAGATACTTTTAATGGGTAGAACCGTTAATCCTGATTGGTCAAACAGATGTAGATCAAATCAAGGAGGACAAACAAAAAAAACAGTGGACACTTTTGTGAAGTCTTTAAAACTATGCTACACAACAATTGTGCTTTGTCTCAATTTGGATACTTAGTTCAACTTAGTACATTGCCATGCAGTACACTGTGAACACTTTCTCTTTGTGTGCATTTCAACGGTGTAGTGTTGTCTCAAATTGAACACTGCTGCTGTGCCCTCAATGGAAGTGACGATTGACGCTGTTAGCTAGCTAGCAAGCTTAGCGTTTGCAGTAGCAAATCATTACAGACTGCTCAATGAATCCAATCAAATTAACGGTGGATTATTTTTTCAACCACAGTATTTTGGTCCATTTAATAAAAACTGAACTAAAACATCTGTATAACTTTTATTTGTATAGTGCTTTGTTTGCCAGTCCAACTTCAATCGTGGCTGCTTGCGCCACTTACGTATAGATGGCAGTCCTTAAATGTAAATGTGTCAATCGTTTCACACTCGGCTCTTTGACCATTACGAGTGCACTATTCAGGTATTTAAAGAGCATTTTTGCCATTCATTGCATTGGGATGCATGTATGCACTAAATATAGCAAGTAAAGAAAAACGTGAGCATTGGTGTGTTTTTTAGTGCCCAGATGATTGAGGAAATGAATTACATTACATTACATGTCACTTGTTAGACGCTTTTATCCAAAGCGACTTACATATTCAATACTGTGGACAATCCCCACAGGAGCAATTTGGGGTGAAGTGTCTCAGGGACACAACGACATGCTGTGGGGTTTGAACCCTGATCCGAACACCAACACACAACCCACTGCACCACACGCCTCCCCTAGCCTTTCTTTAGTTATATAAACACTTAAACAGGAAACAAAAACAACAAACAGAGATATGACGGTTTGCTTAGCAACAGCAGTTGAAATGTACATGATCAGTATGTGAATCCCTCCTGCAGACACTCTGTCTCACTGCTGCAACACACAGATGCTGTGTATTCACCTTGGCAGCGCTGCATTGCATTAAGTGGTCAAATCATATTCTGCAGGCGAATGGCTTCTTCCTCCCGTTGACTCACTGAGAGCTGTTATGTAATAACTGCAATAAGGCCCAAAAACAGCCAAAGCATGCACACAGACGTCTTATTCTGTCTGCCCCCCACACACCACCAGCACCACACTACCGCTCTGACACCGGGCTCACACCGCTGCAGATGGAATCCCTGAACAGCTCCTCTCTCCAATTCAAATAAGCTTTATTGGCATATCGAAAACACAGCATTGCCAAACCACTTTGTTCAAGGCGGTAAAACTCTTATATTAATAATATTATGCCATTTTAAATCTAGGAATCTCTCTTTTTCTCCTAATTCATATAGAAGCTTTATTGGCATTACCATATCAAAAACACAGTATTGCCAAAGCACATTTCTCTCTCTCTCTCTCTCTCTCTCTCTCTCTCTCTCTCTCTCTCTCTCTCTCTCTCTCTCTCTCTCTCTCTCTCTCTCTCTCTCCTACTACTTGATGCAGACGGATCGGCTTTGACACATTGCGGCTCTCTCCATGGTGCTGGAAAGAAAGGAGGGAGGGAGAGGAGGGGGCTCTTTTCTTTTTTAGTTTCCTCCAGGAGCGGCGCTGCACCAAGCTCAGAGCCGAGCCGGTCTACCCCCCCCCCCCCCCACCCACCCTCTCTGATAGAAACTGTGCCTCACTGCAGAGGATGTGGCAGCAGCAAACTTACCATGTTGACTTCAGACACCATGTCGATGCTGGCGATGTCTATGCTCATGCCCACATCCACAGGAGCACCTGTTGGAGAGAGCAGAGGAGTGAGCACTCTGCAGCATCTCATGTCTGCACGGGGGCGCACACACTGGGGAGGGGGGTAGGGGGGGTCTCTTACCTCCAAAATCAGGCCGCAGACGGATGTCATAGCCCTTCAGCAGCTTGTCCACGGTGGCTTTCACGTAGGACATGTTGCTGGGCTCGTTTGCACTGAGGACAGAAAGCAGATTTTAATTTTTTATCTGATGAAATAAAAAGGCATTATATTGTTGAGATCAGATCTCACCTCTGCGCCCCGATCACTACTGTTACCAGCAGCGACAAGCAGCAGCAGACCCCCCAGCCCAAGCCCCCGCGTGCCACAGCGGTCCACATCCTGCCAAACACTTTCACACAAACACAGGGACGCAACTTAGGCTGCAAGATTCCAAGAGCGACGCATGCGCGGCGGTTTATCCACATCCGAGCGTCATTGGCAAGGTGAGAAAATGTAGCCAAGATGAAAAAAAGAATTAAAAAACCAGCCTATAGGTAGTTCACTTGAGGAGTTGAGGTTGGTGCATGAGGCGGCACATGCATTCTCCCCGCGCTCAGCGTCCTGCAGCACGCACAGCTGATCTGCCGCATGCGCGTCTCCCCGCTGCCGCTCACTTCAAAGACGTTAAATAATGAGCAGCAGTGAGCGGCTGCACGGTCACCTTTAGTAAGCCGGGGGAGAAAGAGAGAGAGAGAGGGAGAGAGGGAGGGGAGGGGTGGGGGTGCTGAAGAGAGGCGTCATGTAATACAAGCACGTCTGAGGAGCTGCGCCAGGAAGCGCGTCCCGTTCAGCTGGCGTCACGGGCTACACACCAACTTAATTAATTGTTTTAAATCCCAGAAAATGCATTAAAAAGTGCAACGCACGGCTAAGTGATGGGAGAGGAGATAAGACACGCTGTATGGAGACTGGAATGGATTGTGTTCCGGCAGCAGGGCTGAAGGGAATATAGAGTCCTGACTCCTGCATATAACTAGTCATACGTTTAGCACAAATACATAGAAAGGTATCAGCATTATCACTATGGTACTCACATTTAGCTAATTTCACATTGTAAGAATTACAGTTCTAGTAGTGGAATGCAATAAGTACATTTACCTGAGTAACCTACTTTAGGAACTATTTTTTCATATTGTACTTTTTTTATTTCATTTGCTCATCCATTCGTTTTACAGTTACTAGCTACTTTTTAAGAGGGCCCTGTCATGTTCATTTCAGGTTCACATTTGTATGTTGAGCCTCTACTGTGACATGTGGTCCTGCTTTACAAAATTAAAAAAGTGGCTCAAAATTGACGAACACGTATTTTAAGCGATAAAATTTGAATAATATAATATTATTTAGCGTGATAATACTTTGAAAAGAACCACAGTGCATAATGAGTATTTTTACTTTTCATACTTATATACCTCTTCTTAAGTAACATTTTGAATAAAGGACTTTTACTTGTAATAGAGTACTTTAAGACTATAGTATTTTAAATTTGACTTGAAGGGGCCCTATTAGTCAAATGTTCAGTTTCTTGTCACCCTCTGTCTGAAACCAGAGCCCAGTCTGCTCTGATTGGTTGTGATTGGTCAACCGCTTATAGATGTCCCGCCGTTAGCCTATCAGTTTTGTGGGAGAGAAACTCCCTCCGGAGGGAACACAGGGATGTTAGCCTTTGCAGACTACACAGCAAATTCTGGCCTTTTGAATAAACTCCCTCAGAGTTAAAATCAACTACATGTGAGACCATCGAATAAACTCAACGGCAGAGTTAAAGTTACTCTTTTCTTGGAGTTAATCTTTAACCCTTTTCAGGAGTTAAACCTGAACACTTGTGGGAGTCAAAAACTACTCCCAAGTGCAGTTAAATACAACTACCACTTTAGAGTTAATTTGAATGTGAACTCTATAATAGTGTTAATAGTTAACACTTGAAAGGGTGTATATTCAACACTCATGGAGTTAAAATAAAAATCAATAAAAATGACTACAAACAACGTATTGATTCATACAAATGTGTTTCTTGTATTTGAAAACTCTTAAAATCCATTGTTGATGGACATTTTATAAAGTGCTGTTGCTTTTACAAACAGTGTAAACATGTTACAGCGAACATTCAATTTACATTCGAGTGTTGAAATCCTCAAGCTGCATAAACTCAGTGCATTAAGTGCAAACATTAGACAAACGGGTTCAGTGTACAAAACATTGCATTACAGAACATATACAGACATGTACAAAGAACAAATGGAAAGGACAAATTCCATTAAACAATCAATACTGGCAAATTACATAATACAACTCTCTGACACAACATAAAAATGTGAATCACACCCATATGACATTTGGGAATCAAAAGGTTTGAAATGTCTTAATCCTTCTTTTTCAAGGACCAGTATCTTCCTGGGGATTTTTTCACTTAATTGAAAAGCATGAAAATGGTCATGGAAACACGTTTCATACTCGACCAAAACAAAAATAACTTTTCCATCGTGAAGAATGATACAGGTTATTTTGCTGAACACCGGCATGTTTTCATCGGTGCTTGTACAAACAAAGAGGCCAACTCGATATTCAACCCCACAACACTTTACCCAGCTTGTGAGGTTGACAGTGGCTTGTGGATCAATTCTGAGATATGCAGATATATCTTCTGTATAGTCTTGTGTTTCAAGTACACACATTTTAACTGGACCAGACTGAACTGGTTTTAAAGTCAAGCATTCCCCATGATAAGCTAATGCAAACTGGTGTTTTTTCCCAAGTGATACTGTCAAATTCTTGAAGTTCTTTACACAATCTTTGAAAAATGTGTGTTTCGCTTCGAATCTCATAGTCCAAATATGAATAAGTGGTCCAATTTTCCGAATGCACCTCGGATAATGGACCATGAAATGATGTTTTGGAATCAGGTTGTTTGAAGGGTACAGTTCTTTAAAGAGTTGGTGGTGTTCAATGATAAGGTGCTTTAAATACACAGTCATCCCTTTGGTGATAGAGTAAGAGAACACAATGTTTATAATGTTCAGCAACAAGAGCAATAAGCGCCAGTGCAAGTCATCCTCTGGTACCGAGTCGCCAAATATCAGAGGTATGTTCGTGATCAAACACAGTGTTTGTGATGCATTTAACCCTATTCCATTTCCTACACCATCAAGGTTAATATTTGTTGGCTTGTTTTTATTTTCCAAATAGCCATAGTTAAAAGAATACACCCTGTTTAACAAGGTTTCTTTAGACATGACATTTTTTATTAAGTACTCAAATAGCAGTTTGACCTCATATTGACCAACCCCTTCCAAAATGTCATGCATGATGTCGCACCAAAGTTTTCTGCAATATTGAAATATTGCAAAGTATTTAGTATGCTCTTTCTCTTGATGCCAAATGAAGAGGTTAATGTTGGATCTTCTGCCAAGTTGGTATAATGTTGATCATTCAAAATTGGTGATCTTAAAGTCAAATGTGGGTCGTCTTCTGAGAAAACTGACTGCGCTGAAGATTTATCAAGTAAGCAAAATCTACAGTAATAATTTGCACTAAATGACTCCATGAATCCAAGAATGCTATGCATACCCAAGTTATCACCAGTAACTTGTGCAAGAGTGCCACGTACAAAAACTTCAGAAAATGGGACAGCAACTCCAGTAGTCTCCAATATTTTCAAGTCTTTTACTAAAGGTTTCAGTATTTCATCGATTCCGTATTTCTTAGCATCTTGTGCATGAAACAATGATACCAGATGAATGTTCATAAGGGCAGAATTCACCCTGGGATTAAGATTTCTAACGATAGGCAGCCAACTTTATGTATACCTTTTTTTTAACCAAGAGGATTTGCACACTCAAAATCATCATAGTACAATTGGATTTGGAGGGCAAACTTACTACTTGAAAACAAAGGATGACTTTTAAAGTAGCTTCCATCACAGAAATCTTCATATGTGTCACTTTGAGTAAATGTTTGCATCATTTCACATATATTTTCATTCTTGAAAATAAACTGCAGTGTTTTCAGTATGGGAATATAAATGAATTTGTCATTTATTGGAACTTGCTCATAAGTTCCACTTTTGCTGTTTCGTCTGGCATCATACCTTACACCTAGGCGTAGTTCAACTGGCTGTACTATATCCCATTTTCCCCCAAAATATTTCTTCCATTTGCTATCAGAATTCAACTGGCTGAAAGGGTTGTCCATACTATTAAATAGCTCTTCAATAGCTGATCTGGAGGGATTGTCGGCTGGGAGTAAGTTCAATACTTGGTCCTGAATACTAGACTGCAAATCTCCCACAAATTCCTGTAAATTCTAGATAGAGAGAACAACAGTATTTGGAACACCGCTTCCCAAAAGTTTGGCTATAATGGAGGCACCCATATCTTTGCTGTGAGTTGATAGTGAAGGGACTGCTTCAATATTTTGGCATTGAGAAGAAGTAGAGGGTGTTTCATCATTCATGCACTGAGAATTATCATGCTGTTGGCTGTTGTGGTTGGAAGGGGTCTCTTGAGGCCCACATGTCTCATCAGTATGAGCATGTATCTTAATAAGATGTCTTCTAAATCCAGAATAACTTGAGAATTGCAAACAACATCCTGTTTGTAAATATATTTACATGCACACAAAACTATATACTGTAATACAGTACAGGAAAGGCAGAACCCCCAAAAGCACAATAGAGTATTTAAATACTGTATCGAAACATGTTGTGCTGATATGTGATACATTACCGTACTTCGACAACAACAACTGAATCATATAGTATTATATACTAATTAAAACTCACTTCTTCTCTCTGGCCTTCTAGTCTGAGACTCCTGACATTTCCCTGTGTGTGATTTTTTTATTTGTGCTGTTGTATTTGTTGTAAAGTGTTTTTATTGTAAACTGTTTTTATTGTATGTACAGCACTTTGGCTCGACCAAAAATCGTTTTAAAAATGTGTTATATAAATAAAACTTGATTTGATATAACATGATAATACTGCCACTGCGCTTAATGAGCACTTTTTGATACTTAAATACATGTTGCTGATAGTTCTTCTGTAGTTCTACTAAAAGCTCACCTAGTATGCTATATTTTACAATATATTATAAGGCCATATCTATACAAAACATGTCTCTGAAGTGTTTTGCCCCATATCATGTTCCAAACCACATCAAGCATTATCTCTGAAACAGTATGGAGCTCAAATGCTTTTTTTCTCTCACCTTTTTATTTCCTGCTTCTTTACACATACTCTCTCCAGTACAGGTTAGCTCTGAGTGTTAGCGATAATTGCTAATGTAAACACAGACCATATGAATGAATGAAAACTTTATTACAGACTCAGGGTCCAGATAAAAGACAAGACATTACATATAATAAATTACATACACAGCATAAAAATAATTCATAGTTTAAGAATAATTTAAATCAGTGTCCTACAAAGAGACAACTATACCAATGTCTCCACAGCTGTGATTGGTAGCGTGTACTAAACCTTATGTTCGATAAGGCCAAGAGGATTTCATTATCACAGTCATTAAGCCGGCAAATACATTTATACATAAGATTTCTTAAAACAGCTTGTAGAGTATTGACTCCTGCAGCCACAAACATTTCATTTGCACTAGACCATCGAGGTCTCTTCAGCAATATTCTCATGGCATCATTATAAGCTATACTTGAAGTTTCCG